ACAAAGAGCTGTGATTGGTCCATAATGGTCGGCCAACCATAGTGCTCTATATGCTTAGTGAACAAATCACAGAGCTTTATCCACTTTGTGGGCCAATCAGGGCACTCTATATGCCTGGTGGGTGGGATGATGCAACAGAGTGAAACAAGATGGCCACAGCTCGTTTGAAACGGCTTTTACATCAATTTTGGACTATTAGAACTTGGGCTTCATTAGAATCAGGAGCAGATAGATGAATTTAAGTGCTTTTTTTTAAAGAAAAAAATGTGTTTTCTCCTTCTTCAACTGTGGACCGATAGCTGTTGCAGTGAGTATGTCACATTCATTGTCCAGTAGCATGCGGAGATCATTTGAAAGACAACGGTAGAACCCGCCCCACAACAGAGAGCCTTCAATGGAGCGTTTCCAGACTAACTAATACATTTATTTAGTCTGGCTTGTCAGGCTAATAGAAGACCTTTCTAGGGAACGTTTGGAAAAATTCAAGAAAAGGCCAAAGAGATTTGGCTAATTAGCTCATTTTAATTACAAGGGCTGATATTGGAGCTTCACAATACAAGTTTAAACTTTTTTTTTATATAAATGATGCAAAGAAAAATGAAAACACTTATTATACCAAGCTAATCAATGCCCCGAGACTGCACAAACCTGCAGAATGAGATAAAAACTAAAAGTTAAAGTTTTACAGCAAAGACCGTCAGAGCCAAAACAACAAGTCGTTCTGAGTCGTAAACATCGATGGCAGAGATAAGAGCACAAACGCTCCTTAATAAAACTTTTCCAAACGAGGGCCCAGAATCCACAGCATGACATCACCTACATCCACAGATCAACTGCAGCTCACCAGAGCATCACGTCTGTCCACACAAACAGTAAAAGTACAAACAGCCCACAGAAATCACTCATCCACGTCAGATCTAACTTGGAGTGTTTTGCATGCAGTCCAGAAGAGAGTCATGATGGAAAACACAGAAGTTTCCATCAGGGCCGAGCTCTGATAGCTGCTACTACATAGTTTTTATAATTCTGTCTGGACCCAGAGAACAACAGAAACTAGCTGCTATTGAATCCCAGAATCTTCTAGAATTTTATTTTAATTTTTTACCCAAAATTCTGCCTCGTATGTCTATGTTTTAAGACAAACTGTGTCTGGTAGGGTTTTAAGTAATGAAGAAAAAAATAAACATATTTCTCTAGTTTTGCTTCACCAGACTAAAACACAGAAGGATCTAATAAACATTAGACTTGAAAACTGCTGTCATTATTCTGTCACCAGTGTGCAAACTTTAAGTCTTTGACTAAACCATGAGACCTACTGGAAGGCTTTACTACCTGCCTGAGATCACTACTCTAAAAAATCAAACTTGCTAAACAGGCATAAGCTTTGTTTCTCATGAAGCCACATAAGCTACATAACAACAAAAACTCAAGCCTACGCCACTGAGACTCCTACTTTACTTTGTTCAGTCAGCATCATTAAACCCCAACACTGCTGCTGATCAGAGCAAATCACAAATAAACTGTTTTACATTCATGGCAGGAAGGGAAACAAAGATATCTACAAAGTGGAACGTTACACTTTATGAAACACAGAATTTATATTTTAGCTTCTAAGCTTCTGAGAAGCCATCGACTCAACTAGGACCGCATGAGTTAAAGACTGACAGAAATTGGAAACGGCAGAGGCGATACCTGTCAGGTCTTCTTCCTGTGAGTGTCAGACACTTGTTTTTTTTCCTCGACAGGGCAAAGAGCGCCCTTTGGCCTCTACCTCCGCATGTTACAACAATGAATAAAGAAGCCTCTCCTTTTAAGCCTCATCTTCTGAGGTAAAAACAAACCGAGCAGCTAATTCCTTTCCTGCTTTTCCACTGAGTGTTTGTGAAGTCATTCCAGAACACAAAGTGTCTCTCTTTCTGGTTTGCTCCTCCCTTCTACACAAGCAAAGCAGCAAGCCATCTTCCTTTAACTTGTATTCAAGTAGCTCCGCCCCCTTTAGGAAGTAACTACAAGAAATAACTGAATCCATTGTTTTTAAAAAATTTTAAGATTTGCCATGTTTAAGAAAATGTTACAACATAAATTCCTTCTTAGATTATTTTCTTCTAGTGCCAAATACAAATTTAACAATCAGAATTTCTGCTCACCTGAGAGAAAATGAAACTGATTCATCCTTAGATCACATGACGAGAGATATGCGTGAATGTGGGTATTTGTAGGAAATGTAGATGGGGATAATGAAGTGATAAGGGGATCAAAAGTCCTATTGTCACTACCAAAACAATGGCCGATGATGTCAGCCTGTCTACCAGGTGAAACAGGAACTTGTCTCACATCTGTAAAGAAACAAGAACTCACTCATTTATACAGACCAACTACTTTCAATCTTTTATTTGCAACTTGCCTCAAACCATTATTCTCCTTGTTCCCTTCTGTATTAACTAAAGTGTGAAGAAAATAACTCCAACCTAAATCATGGAAGTATAAAGCTGCACATTTAAGCAGCTTCCTGGCAAAATAATACTAGTAACAACACAGCAAGAGCTTTTATAAGGTGAAAAAGAAAAAAAGAAAAATGTGTTCACACAGCTTCCTCGGTGCAACAGCACACAACTTCACAAAACTGACTCATGAACATAAAAGAACAAAGGTCTTACACCAAATCTTCTGTAATCTTTTCTTCTGAAGCAGCAACAGCCAACAGGTAAACTATTTCCTTCTTTTGAAGCTTTTAATAAACAGATCCCACCTTTTGATTAGGACTTTTCACACTATCAACAACTGTATAAGATGCATTTAACAAAGGTGGCTAATGCAAATACTAGCAAGTGGCATTAATCAGTCATTGATAAACAGACAACTATAAATTTATCTTAATCTTACTAATAGTATGGGGGGGGGGGGGGGTAATATGGCGAGGCGCTAGCAGTGTTGTTTGTGATATGTCCTATGTGTTAAAACAACTTAATCTGTGACTGAGGTAATAGTGTGAACCGAGCTGCGTGTAGATGACCTTTGGGTTTCCAGACTGTGGAGTTGCAGGGTCAAAGGTCACAGTTAATGCTACATCTTAGCCTGGTGATGTTGTAGGCCTGAGTTCATCAAAGAGGGCCACAGATACAGAAAAATGAATCCAGACACCTTTAATGACTGAATAATTTAAAGGTGAAGAATGTGTTTTAATTTAGAACCAACACAGGAAATGTCAAATAACAAATGCCCGTTTTCCAAGTTAGACTACAGGTAAAACCTTTGTTATGGAAATTTTATATTTCATTACTTTAGTCCTATTAACAGATCTATTAACTGAATGTCCTGAAAGCATTCACACACACACACACACACACACACACACACACACACACACACACACACACACACACACACATACACACACACTTACTCTCTCACACATGACCCACTCCCATTCCTTTCTTATCTCCTCTGTATAAATAAACTCTGTGACCAGATGTTCGGGCCTTTGCCCTGCGCACTTGCCACAAATCATGATTTGGTTGTATGTCTGCCTTATTGCTTCTTGTCCCTCTCTCTAGCTGCAGGAAATGGGTTTATTGATAAACATATTGATAAAATCCCTAACAACCTTTAAAGGTGTAGTTCACTGAAAAAGCATTTTCAATCATTATTTCTGATTATGAGTCTCTTCGAGTTTTCCATGCAGGCTGAACATGAAAATAGTCTCCTACACCTATCCCCTGCATTAACTTCTGATAAAAGTAGACGGTGAAACCATAGTTTTAGAAAATCCTGACAGATCTACGCCACACTCTCAGTTAACATTCATTGACTCACCCATCCTGACTCAAGACAGGAAAAGCTGTTGTTTTAGCATCCAGGAAACATCAGAGCACATGTCGGCTAGCAGAAGCTAAGTGTTAGCATTAGCAACTCTGAAGCTACTTTCTCACTCCAGCTAAATTCTCCGTGCTCAAACAGGTGCTTCTGGGGTTTCTTGTCCCCCAGAAACCACTGCAAATGTATTGATTAAATGAGTGTTCAAACTGTCTTACTAGTTAAAAGTGTTGAAGGTAATTCTTGGCTGATAGAGTGCTCTTCAAGTCTGATAATTCAGGGTGGGAAAATGAGATGATGTGATCTAATCTTAACTACTAGATTATTTTGATCAAAAAGTTTTAAATTATCCTTAAACAGTGAGGTCCATGGAACTGTAATTAGCATGTAGCTAATCAGCATTTCATCACATGAACTAACAAAGCTGTTTAACACTAAGACTATATTATGCAAACAATAATAGAAACACCTTGTTCCTGAAACGGTTAAAGGCATGCTGCTTTATTGTAGTGTTCGGTATGATGGTAAAATGTGTTATGAAATTAACTGACTGTATTAAAGCATAACCAGATGACAGACAGTACTACGTTTCCCAGTGTAATTGTTTGGCACCTCCTGACTGAAAGAAGGCCAGGATGCTAGTCTGCATCATCACGACAGCTAAGCACCGGAGCAGCAGATGGCACTGCAACCCACAATGCAGTGCTCTTGGATCGCTTAGAAATACTTTCCACATGGCATCAACAGCCGCCAACAGCAAATACAAAGACAGACTGGTGGGGGACTCTGAGTACAGTAGGAAGCTCCATGCTGGGTCAGCTGATGGAGAGTGAAAGCCCGTTTCACTATAAAGAAACACACAATCACCCCCGTGAGGACAATTATCATGGTAAATAAGAAAAAAATGACACTAAACCAAAATCAGTTTTCACAAAAGTTAAATTTTCCTGACTAGTTGCTATAGGAATAGAAAAAAATATGCCTATCACATACAAGAAGAAATTATGTGTGCGCATGTGTGTGTGCGTGTGAAAACAACCAGACTCAACCTGAGGGCAGTAGTAAGACTAGTGGGAACATGTAAAGTTAGTGGATTTGTTTAGTCCAAATGTGCAGTCAGCTCATTTACAGTTTGATCCAAACAGACAAGTTGTGTGTGTTTAAAGCCATTAGAGAAGGATGCTTACTCGCTCCGCCGGCGGGCCTCCATCCCATCTGGTAGGAAGAGTTTGATTGCTGACACAATGCAGCCATGGGTGACTGACAACACAAATAATAACACTTCAGTACTGGTTGACAGAAGCCCACGTCATTTGTTGATTAGAGACAAAAATTCTATCAGCTAAAGAAAAATCAGCTCATAATCACAGCTATAATTCACCTTTAAGCTCACAGACTTTTGCTTGTTGAGACACTTTCTTAAAATGACTGTAATTATAATTTCTGTATTATGGGATGTAAAGCTTTCCCCTTCAGACAAAAAACCTGCTTTTAACCCCAAAATTCCACTATCTCCGCTCGCTTCCGAACTCAAATTATACTGTACCAGCTCTACAACGGCTCCGCTTCGGTGCGGAGACCTGAGGTGCGCAAACAGGCATGCGCGGGATTGTCGAGCTCTTGCGATACAGTCCGAGCAATAAACGCGGAAGTTAGATCCAAACACCCGTTGTGTGGGAGAAGCATCGAAATGAACTATTTAATCTGCCCATCATTTGTGTTGAGAGATCAGCAGTGTTTGGATCAACAAAGTGTGACTACTTTGATAGTGGAAACTGTATTTATGGCTTATTTTTGTGCATTTAAAGTTCAACTGCCATTGATAGTTGTTAAAAGTCATTAAACCTGTGCATATGAAACAAAAAACGCTTTTTGTTTATCAATTTATTGTGAAATAACGGAAGCTGTGCTTGCTCCCTTTCCTGTTGGGCGGTTGTGATTTCTGTCCATTGACTGTGGAGGTGCTCCGGCGTCCGGCAAAGATAGAATCGATCCTATTTTTGCCGGATGGCGGAACGGCGGGCGGCGCACTGCACCGCACGGCCGCAGTAGTGGAACAGCTCTGATTGACTACAATGGGACCGTTTTTGCTGCGGAGTTTATACCAGAGCGGAGCGCAGCGGGGCGGAGATAGTTTAATTTTGGGTTAACAGTCAGTCTTTCAATAGAAGTAGATTGTAGTTGTGTTTATTAGAGGTGAGTGAATATTCACACATTTAAAAACGATGACTGTGCTGTTAATGTGGCTAAACTCATGTTTCACAATCTCTGTGAAATAGAAATAATTAAACACACTTGTTCTTTTGTTCCTCATTTGCTTCTTCATGTCTGCTAGATGCCCTTCTGTTTTTTTATTCTCAGCATCCCTAGCACACCTTTAATATTGGAATTGGTCAACAGAGCTGGCATGTCAGTTCCACTTTACTAAGACTACAATGGGAACAAACAGGGAGCAGCAAGAAAATTTGAACTATGAAAAAGTTGCAATCTATGCCTTTAAGGGACAGCACTGGTGAGTATGCACCCAAACATCCGTGTGTAATACTCAAAGGAGGTGAACTCACTGACCTTTACCCCCTACAGATAAAAAGGCAAGGTCAGCTGATTGAGAGTTTTGGTACATTTTTAAAACATACGTCCAAAGCTTAGAGGAGAAATGTACTGATGGCGCTAAAGGCTTCTAGGAGGAAAAGCTTGATTACCATCACGGCTTTACATCAGTTTTTTTTTATGGGTCGGGGAACGGGTCCTGACTGTTGTTTGTGCTTATGGGCCAAATATCAGTTCAGAGTACCCACCCTTTTTGGAGTCCCTGGGACGAGTGCTAGATAGTGCTCCATCAGGGGACTCCATTGTCCTGCTGGGGGACTTCAATGCTCACGTGGGCAATGACAGCTTGACCTGGAGGGGTGTGATTGGGAGGAACGGCCCACCTAATCTGAACTCGAGCGGTGTTTTGTTATTGGACTTCTGTGCAAGCCACAGTTTGGCCATAACGAACACCATGTTCGAACATAAGGATGCCCACCGGTACACTTGGTACCAGGGCAGCCTAGGTCACAGGTCGATGATAGATTTTGTAGTCTTATCATCTGACCTGCGGCCGTATGTTTTGGACACCCGAGTGAAGAGAGGGGCGGAGCTGTCAACTGATCACCACCTGGTGGTGAGTTGGATCAGATGGCAAGGGAACATGCCCCGTAGACCTGGCAGACCCAAACGCATAGTGAGGGTCTGCTGGGAACGCCTGGCAGAAGAACCTGTCAAGACGGTCTTCAACTCCCACCTCCGGCAGAGCTTTGACCACGTCCCGAGAGCAGTGGGGGACATTGAGTCCGAGTGGGCCTTGTTCCACTCTGCGATTGTCGAGGCGGCTGTTGCTAGCTGTGGTCGTAAGGTGGCCGGTGCCAGTCGTGGTGGCAACCCCCGTACCCGCTGGTGGACACCAGAGGTTCGGGGAGCCGTCAGGCTGAAGAAGGAGGCCTACAGGGCGTGGCTGGTCTGTGGGTCTCCGGAGGCAGCAGACAGGTACCGGATAGCCAAGCGGGGTGCAGCAGTGGCAGTTGCCGAGGCAAAATCTCGGGCGTGGGAGGAGTTTGGTGAGGCCATGGAGAAAGACTATCGATCGGCTCCAAAGAGGTTCTGGCAAACTGTCCGGCGCCTCAGGAGAGGAAGGCAGCAACTCGCTCACACTGTTTACAGTGGGGATGGGGAGCTGCTGACGTCAACTGAGGCTATAGTCGGACGGTGGAAGGAATACTTTGAGGAGCTCCTCAATCCCACCAATGCGCATTCCGAGGAGGAACCAGAGCTGGGAGGCCTGGGGATGGACTGTCCGATCTCGGGGGCAGAAGTTGCTGAGGTAGTCAAACAACTACACAGCGGCGGAGCCCCGGGGGCGGATGAGGTTCGTCCTGGGTATCTCAAGGCTATGGATGTTGTAGGGCTGTCATGGTTGACACGTCTCTACAACATTGCGTGGTCATCGGGGGCAGTTCCTAGGGAGTGGCAGACCGGGGTGGTGGTCCCCATCTTTAAGAAGGGTGACCTGAGGGTGTGTTCCAACTATAGGGGGATCACACTCCTCAGCCTCCCTGGAAAGGTCTACTCCAAGGTACTGGAGAGGAGGGTCCGATCGATAGTTGAATCTCAGATAGAGGAGGAGCAATGTGGTTTTCGTCCTGGCCGTGGAACTGTGGACCAGCTCTATACCCTTGCAAGGGTGATGGAGGGGGCATGGGAGTTTGCCCAACCAATCCACATGTGCTTTGTGGATTTGGAGAAGGCTTATGACCGTGTCCCCAGGGGCACCCTGTGGGGGACGCTCCAGGAGTATGGGGTGGGTGGCTTTCTGTTAAGGGCCATTCAGTCCCTTTACCAGAGGAGCGTGAGTTTGGTCCGCATAGCCGGTAGTAAGTCGGACCTGTTCCCAGTGAGGGTTGGACTCCGCCAGGGCTGCCCTTTGTCACCGGTTCTGTTCATCACTTTTATGGACAGAATTTCTAGACGCAGCCATGGTGTGGAGTGTGTCGAGTTTGGTGGCAGGAGAATCTCGTCTCTGCTTTTTGCGGATGATGTGGTCCTCCTAGCTTCATCCAGCTCTGACCTTCAGCTCTTGCTGGGTAGGTTCGCGGCCGAATGTGAAGCGGCTGGGATGAGGATCAGCACCTCCAAATCTGAGATCATGGTTCTCGACCGGAAAAGGGTGGCTTGCCACCTCCGGGTCGGGGGAGAGGTCCTACCTCAAGTGGAGGAGTTTAAGTATCTCGGGGTCTTGTTCACGAGTGAGGGTAGGAGGGATCGGGAGATCGACAGGCGGATTGGTTCGGCGTCTGCAGTGATGCGGACGCTGAGCCGATCTGTCGTGGGGAAGAGGGAGCTGAGCCAGAAAGCCAGGCTCTCGATTTACCGGTCGATCTACGTCCCAATCCTCACCTATGGTCATGAGCTTTGGGTAATGACCGAAAGAACGAGATCGCGGATACAAGCGGCTGAAATGAGTTTCCTCCGTAGGTTGGCTGGGCTCAGCCTTAGAGATAGGGTGAGGAGCTCGGACATTCGGGAGGGACTCGGAGTAGAACCGCTGCTCCTCCGGATCGAAAGGAGCCAGTTGAGGTGGTTTGGGCATCTGGTCAGGATGCCTCCTGGACGCCTCCCCGGGGAGGTGTTTCGGGCATGTCCTGCCGGCAGAAGGCCCCCGGGTCGACCCAGGACACGTTGGAGAGGTTACATCTCCAATCTGGTCCGGGAACGCCTTGGGGTCCTGCCGGAGGAGCTGGTGGACAAGGCCGGGGAGAGGACGGCCTGGAGCTCCCTAGTTGGGATGCTGCCCCCGCGACCCGGACCCGGATAAGCGGAGGAAGACGAGACGAGACGAGAGACGAGACGGGTGAATCTAACGCCATCTTCAAAAACCTAAAACAGTCTAGTATTAAGATAACTCAGTTGAATTATCAGTTAAGACTCCTAATAATTCCTCCTTAAATATTTGAAGTTTAAAACGATGAATAAATGATAACACCATTACTTACATATGTCTCGCTGCCTTTTCTTTCCTTCAATTTTCAAACCAGCCAAATGACTCTGGTGTTTTTGCTGACAGCATGTTAGCAAGAATGCGCGTGTGTGTGCGCATGTGTGTGATGCACACACGAGATGTCACACTTGTGCTCCATTTTCAACATAGAACCAACTTCAGTCTATCGTCCTAAGCAACTGTTTTAATTTGCTCAAGTATTTTAGTGTTTAATTTGAACTGAATTTAGATGTTTTTTCCTTACATAAATAAGTAATTTTAAATGATTTATGTTTCATATTAAACAGTGAAAGGTTGCCCAAACATAACAAAGTAACACAATTTAGACCCCATGATTAAAATATTTTAAAAGCCTCATATTTTTTATTATTGCTGGCCGTGTTGTCTCGAGATGCACAGTAAAATTAGTACTAGTAAACTACTGGGAGGATTGAGTGATTTTTTTTTTTGTATGAACTAAATCCAGCACAGGTTCACTGGAATAGAGCTGAAGACCTGACCTGAATATGTGCACTGCACCATGTAAATAAAAGGCGTGTTTGTTGTAGGGTTGTCACAGTGTGAAAACTTAACCTCACAGTTATTGTGACCAAAATTATCACGGTTTTCGGTATTATCGCGGTATTTTTTTAAACGTGTTACATTTTCAGACAACTAAATAAACCCTGTATATCAGGAAAATATTGTCCTCAGTTTGTGTCTAAATTTTGTCAAAAATGTGTTATTTTGTAATTATGTTGTTTATTTGTTTAATTTTCCCCTTTAGTCTTTAAAATACCAATATTTGACCCATAACGTCTTATTTTTTGTCTGTTTGATATCATCATTTAAAAAACATTAGATCAGATGATACTCAGTACTCAAGTAGCCTTCTAATCATATACTTTTTTTTACCCTTACTTGAGTAATAAACCCTATAATCAGGAAAATATTGTTCTCGGTTTGTGTCCTTCCGGTGCGCTTTGCAGATTTGGGAAAATGTCATCAGGCAGTAATCATCGTTAAATTCATAATTATTCTAGAAGAGAGGCCAACTCTTATCTGCCCCTGGGAGCCCCGTAATGCATAGCGTCGTTTCAATATGGGGGTGTTTGTGACACGGTTTATATGCAGGTAGCGGCGCTGCGGCTGCTTTATATAGCGACTCGTTGCATTCTCCCTCAACCCAAATCCTCGGATCACGCATTTTAGCTAAAACGCTAACGTTAACTTGCCTTGCGTTGACTGTAGAGTTGAGGGTGATGGTCACGCAGATGTGTCATGAGATTTGAAGCGTTGCTGCCTTTCACAGACACTTTTTCTGCACGTGCTGCAAACAGGATAGCCGTCTTCTATCAACTGTCCCTCGGCATTCTTCAAATATCCAAAAAATGCCCGTACTTCCCACTTTGTCTTCTTTGAGAGATAATAAATGTCATGAGCGCTGCCATCTCCTCCTTTGGCCATTATTTCAACTTTAGCTTCAAGAAAGTTTTGGCTGTAAACAACAAAGCGCGCATGTGCCGCCGGCAACTTCAGCAGATGATACGGTGGCTGGTAAGGGTTACGGCGCATACACCGCAGCCACGGTAATCCACCGAGATAGTATTTTTTAAAAACAAGAGTTATTATTTTTGTCAACTTTTTTAACGGGGTTTACCGCTACACCGGTTACCATGACAACCCTAGTTTGTTGTACGATGATCTCAGCCTAATTAGCCCACGCCATCATTGTAGGTTTGTGTGTCTCTTTTACCAGGGTTTCCTCTACATCAGGCATGGGGAACCCTGGTCCTCGAGGGCCGATATACTGCATGTCTTTGCTCCAACACTTCTGAGTCAGTGGTTGATTCACCTGTTCTGCAGCTCATCAAGCTCTGCAAAGCCTGTTAATCACCTGTTAATTGAAATTGGGTGTGTTAAAGCAGGGTTGAAACTAAAACATTCTGGATAGTGGCCCTCGATGGACCGGGGTACCCCACCCCTGCTCTACATGTAATTGATCGTGGCGCACCACCACGGCAAAATAAAAACCGCCACACCTTCGGAACAAAGGTGGGGTTTTGTTTTTGTTTGTTTTTCATGTTTTATATGTTAAAACAGTGTAGAGCAAATTATATATATATATATATATATATATAGGCTGTATTTGCACACTTATACTAATCATAATCAGGGTTTGTGATCATCTTAAATATCACAAAACTTGAAAATTTACTTTATTTTGAAAAACCAACACTGCCTGCTACTTCCTATCTGGCTGTGAAGCTGCTGTAAGGTGCGGGGGGTGCACTTCTCAGGAGTTCAACGCTGTGAAAATGAGCCTAATGTTAACCAACTCAGACTCTGTCCTGCATTTTCATTACTTTTCTCACATCCCGCAAATTGACTCATGTCCCGCATTGTTGACAGTCTCCTGTTTTGAGTTTCAATTTTGCATAAACTGTTTGGAGAAAGCTGCCTGTTGCTGTAAATCAAACGGACTTTAACGCAGGTCCGGAGTGCGCACCCGAACCACAAACAGAAGCGTCAGCGAACAAGGACAGATGAGTGCAGTGGACAAAATGCTGTAAAGAATCATGAGTTTAAAGTGTTCAGATACTCGGACAGAGTCTTTGTTTTTTCTGAGAGACTTTTTTAAATGTCACGGCGAGGAGTCCCATATGAAACGGAGCAGAAAATCAGAGTCACAAAAAACATGTTGGTCAAAAGCAGGTTTCCCGGTAAATAGACAGGTTCATGATAAAACCCAATGGAGACAAGGTGCTGCTGAGGTTGTGTTGTCTCAGATGCAAACAAGCTAAACCCTTTTAAAGCACATTAAAAAAATAATGAGAGATTTGAATTGAAGCCTTGATTATTTAGTCTCCGAAGAAAAAAAGTTAAAACTAAGATTAGATCTCATGTTTCTCTCAAATTAAAGCCGGTGATGTTTTTTTTCCCTAAATTACTTTACTATTAGATTTGACAATTTTGAACCCCATTTACATTAATGTCATTAAAATGAGTATTAACCAATGAAAGTTATGCTTTCAACTTCAATGTGCCTAATTCTACCAGTTACACAAACCTTTGCGTGTGTTCTCAGTGACGTCGACGCCAAACTGAATGATGTCGCCAGACAGGACCTCACAGGGTGGACTCTCCTCTGAGCCACGACTCAACCTCTGGCTGTTAATGAACGTCCCGTTGCTGCTTTTGGTGTCCTGCAGGTAGAACTGAAACACAAAAACAAACACAGGTAAGAATCACGCAAGTAAAATGGAAAAAACTTCACTCGAGGTGAGATAAAAATTCAGATTTATGAAACAGTAAAAACTCATTAACTGATAATTAACCACAGCAAATGACTGGGGCTCACTCATAGGGTTGGGCATCAAGCATCAATTGGAACTGGGACTAATTGTCAGTTTTACCCGAAATCCTTCAACTTTTCTTATTTTGATACCTAGTTTCAATTTTCAGGCTTACGACCTCGGATGAAGATTGTTTGGCCGATCTCCACGGGAAAAAAAAATGACCTGCAAATTCTGATCAATGCCTTTCACAGCTGATCACACCAGCTGTATGTCGCTCCTACTCTGCTGCCCGCAGAGACCCTGAGAGCAGCATCGCGTCCCCCTACCCTCCCTCACACGGCACAGGCACACAGCGGCAAACATGTAAACAAACACATTTGCCAAACTTTTACTCCATGATGTAAACTTTAATTCCTGCAGCAATAAATACGGCGTGGAGGAAGCTCATTAAAATGCGTCAGCATGGTGGAGTTAATAGAAGTTTTGAAGAACAAACTCCGGGCGGTGTGAGGCGAGTTTGGCTCAATGCAGAAATAAAAACACACACAGTCAGACGCAGCCACTCACCAACGCTCATCTGTGCTAGCGTGAACGTCACAAGGCTAAGTATTAACTCAGGATCTACGCTGTATTTAGAAAAGAACCAAGCAACGGAACCACACAGATAGGTTTCCTATAGGGGGGAGCTGTTTAATTGCTTTACGACAGTTAGCAGTAATGCTTTTCCCATCTTTATATTTTAAAATAATTTTTAAATCATTTTTATTTGTAACTTTTGTTCTTGTGAAGTGCCTCGTGATTTTCATCTTGAGAGGAACTATATAAAATATTGTGTCTTCTCCCTAGCATTTTCAGATCGCCAATTGTCAATAAAAAGCACAGTAAGAAGAGAAAGTTTGCTTTTTCTGTTGGCATCATGGCGGAGCCTGGACGTAAAGGTAGGAGAGTAATGTCTTTGGAGACGAAGCAAAGAGCTAAAACCAGTGCGGCCTACACTAGTTTGAGGGAGCTAAAGGAGGCTATTAAATCACGGACTGATAGTGACCTGGCTTTGGTGCTACTGGACTTGTAAGTAATATTTTTTGTCCAATAGTGTGGATCTTTTTACTTTGTGGTTCATTTTAGCATTTGTTAGCTTATGCTAGTGTTAGCTCGTTGTTAGTGATAGCATGTTTGTTGCGTTCTACACTTGAACCACAGGAGAAAAACAATTGAGCAACACTGATGGACACATTACCATGTTCTGAAAATATTGTTCATTCATAAAAGTTATAAGAAGATGCTGATTTGTTCATATTCAATTATTTTTCCCTTCATGACCCACTTGTGTTACTACACCCATTTGAGAATAATACTTAAATTACTGCTTATTACTGGTTAATGAAGCTATTTTAACACAGTAACACACAAGTGCTTCATGAAGAAAACAGCCACCATCATGACAGAAAAACACAACAAATAGCAACAAACAGGCACAGAATCAAAGGTAAATACAAGAATTAAAAGACGTAAACATAAAAATGTCATGCAGGAAATTGAACACATATAAAACTGGCTAAAAAAAATGTGCGGGTATACCAACAGATCCTAAGATTACAAACAAGCATTTGACATGATTCCAGTACATAAACACACAACTGTTACATTTAAACACACACAAACACACACACACACAGGGTAAACAATCAAATCCGGATGTCTGAGGCTGAGGCATATCTGTCTGATGTTCCACGAGCTTCATTCATCACCTCTCAGGTCTTCGTCATGACTGAAAACAAGTGCTCTGTCCTTCTGATGATGAAGAGACTCAGATTCACAAACACAACAGATGAAGGAGGGATGAAAACACAAAAAAAGGAAACGGCCAGCGAAGGAGAGAATGATGCGAGGCAGACTGGTTCACATCGTTGTTTACCCAAATTTAGCCACCAGTTTGCATCTCATGATGGCTATTCACTCACTAACACACACACAGCTACCTCCTGTCCCCATGGTAACATGGAGGCAGAGGGGGAGGGTCCTAACTATAGAGATTTTCACCCAGCAAAACACACACACACACACCTCCCTTATGGGCCCTCACACACTTCTACTATAACTTATCTCTCACAGAAGATATGACATCATTAGGGCTGCAACAACGAATCGATAAATTCGATGAAAATCGATTACTAAAAGCGTTGGCAACGAATTGCGTCATCGATTCGTTGTGTCGCACAACTCTTCCAAAAGCGCCCCCCCCCCCCCCCCATTCCCGCCCGCCGTTGCGCGCAGACCAGAGCAAGTCAGATCAGCGCGAGGGAGAGCCGCAGATCAGCGCGAGGGAGAGCCGCAGATCAGCGCGAGGGAGAGCCGCAGATCAGCGCGAGGGAGAGCCGGCAGATCAGCGCGAGGGAGAGCCGGCAGATCAGCGCGAGGGAGAGCCGCAGATCAGCGCGAGGGAGAGCCGGCAGACTTGCGCTGCTGCGAACCGGTTCCGCATTGTTGCACAGCGATCCAGGCAGCTGCTTCCAGCGCACGGTCCATTCTCAAAGTGGCGCAACCAAAAAACTATAATTTGCACACGATCGTTCATGTCCGCACATGTTCTCTATTTTCTGTCTTATCTGTGCCTGAAGCTCGCTACTGCGGAGCTCATCACCTGTGCTGTGGTGATGTCACCTCACGCAGCATCGAAAACGCGCTCTGCGCTTTTCGGTCAGGAGATCCCTTTGATCTGCTCAAAAGTAACTGATGAGGTGAAAAGGTAAGAATCCAGGCAACAGATTTTCTGGAGAATTAAGAGGAGATGCAGGAAGATGAGAGACAGACAGGACAGGAAAATAGTTAAATAAAAACAAGAAAACAAAACAAAGTGTTGAAAAGTAAAATGTAGGTAGATTTATCTCCACGACACGTTTTTACCAGTAAAAAACAATAAGTTCTACACATGTAATATTTATACATCTGATACAATTCAGATCACCTTCAAAACTCAGTCACACACCCAGGGCCGTTTCAAGACATTTTGGGGGCCAAGGCAAAATGCCCCCCCCCCCCCCCCAATAACTGGGCTCCCCAGAAGCCTCTGTGTAATTCATGCCCTCTCCAGTAGTGTTAGTTATATGGTGTTTATAAAAGCCCCTCAGACATTACTGACATGTTCTAATATTATCAGATGAAAAACTAAATTATCAGACATGCTGTCTCATCTGCTTCTTTTATAAACTTGAAAAAAGTAACAAAACCATTTGAAAGCCACTATTTGTGGATTCTCTGAAAGTTTCCATGGAGTGTGTGACAACTTATTTTTTTCATTGATCCTACTGTCTAATCTCACAGCTGAAACAAGTATCCTTAATAATCTGTGCACAGGAAGCTTACTGATGCTGTAGTAAAACAAAAGGTATAATAATTTATTATTAATAAAAACTTGTTGCAGCACTAAAGCAGAAAAATTAGATTTTGCATTAAATATGCAAAATATTTACATATGAATTGTTTTAGAGCTCTTTAATTGGCAGAATCTGATATTAATTTAGTTCTTACAAAAAATGGGTCCCAACATGGTTTTTGTGGCGTTGCCATAGTGTGACGTCATAGGCACAGATCCCCTGTCCTCTTGTTTGGAAATGGAAATATGGTCACCCTACATTAAACAAACTGTCCACCCGGGCTTTTGCACTGCACAGAGACGCTTCGCTGCCTACGACTGAACGTCAGTTGAGAGTCAGTCTCATGCAGACTGACCAATGAAGAGAGGGCCTCAAGTTAAGACCCTCTCCTCATTGGTCAGTCCACACGAGGTGGGTCAAAGGTTACTCTGGGTGGCTTACGTGTTGTCAGGCATTCAAGTATTGAGTATATTTACTGCATATTACAGTAAAATATTCTGTATGTGACCACATTATGGTGATCCTTGGGTCGTGATGATGGAGCCCTTAAATATTGTTGCCCAGGGTACAACAAAGTGTTAATCTGGCCCTGGTTCCGCCGTCACATTCCCGCAGAAACTGGTTGATCACACCGGGGCCAGACTACTAGTATGTGGTTTTACAACCACAATGTCCTCAGAAGCAAAAACGCTTTTAAAAGGGAGGGAGGAGTCCTAACTGTTGCTGCAGGCATGTTGTGTGAGAGTGCAGTTATATACTGGTTAATATATTTTTGGGTTCAGTTGCTTTCATGTGGCCTAATGTGAGTCTATTTGGGATCATTGGAATGATCAGCAGCATTTCTTGATGTGACTTTATGGCAGTTGCCCAGGGCATCATCACAAGGAGGATGGCATTCATTTACTTTTGTTTTATTTGGTATTTTTTCAGTCATTTTTGGAAATAGTGATCAATTTTGATTAATTCACAGCCTATGTTTAATTACATTTAAAATAAATGTCAACAGATGAGATCAAGCAAAACAGATGAGAATTGCCCTTAAGCTGTTTAACTTGGACCAAGCATTTTAGGTCACAGATAGATGTAGCCTAGGGTCTCTGTCTATACACCTTATAAGACAATTTAGGTGATGGCATGTTGTTTTTCTGCTATTGAACTGTTTTCTAATAATGTTGTGTTAAATAAAGTGAAGGAAGGAGAGAAATAACGTTTCCCTAGCAGTTTTTAAAAATTTCCCCATGTAATCCGATTAATCGATTAATCGTGTCGAGACCCCATCCGATTAATCGATTATCCAAATAATCGTTTGTTGCAGCCCTAGACATCATCCACCTGTGCGCAGCAGATTGCTGGTTTAATCTCAGTCCTGTTAAAGTCAGGTCTGTGTCGTTTCTCTTTGAACAATAACTTTGAATCACTTGACATTTAGCTTATTTCACAGCATAAATATAAATGTGACACAGGAAGGAAATAAAGGGAACCGTCTTCAGTGAACATGAACAAACATGGGGTTTGATCCAAATGATTTTTTTTTCATTTTCAATC